AAGGTACGGGCTGAGCCGGGATGGGGAAGGGCGGCAGCCGGGGGAAGGTACGGGCTGAGCCGGGATGGGGAACGCAGGGGCTGGAGCTGAACCGGGCTGAGGGGAGGCAGGGGCCGAAGCGGGCTGGGGAGAGTCAGGGGCTGAGATGGGGAAAGACAGAGCCTGAACCGAGCGGGGAAAGGCAAGAGCTGAGCCGAGCCGGGGTAAGGAGGGAACCGAGCTGGGGAAAGGCGTGAGCCGTGCCGGGGTACAGGGCAGGGGCCGAGCCGAGCCGGGGTAAAGCAGGAGCCGTTCGGGCGGGGCAGGCTCTGAGGGGCGATCCCGTTCGGCCGGGGCAGGCTCAGAGGGCCGGTCCCGTTCGGGCGGGGCAGGCTCCGAGGGCCGGTCCCGTTCGCCCGGGGCAGGCTCCGAGGGCCGGTCCCGTTCGCCCGGGGCAGGCTCCGAGGGCCGGTCCCGTTCGGCCGGGGCAGGCTCCGAGGGCCGGTCCCGTTCGGCCGGGGCAGGCTCCGAGGGCCCGCGGGAGCCCGTGGGTTGCAGCCCAGCCGCGGTGCGGGGATCCCACAGCCCACAGGACCCTGCCCGAATCTTCCCGCGGGCCGGGCCGGGCAGGGCTGCGCCGAGCCCCCGAGCCGCACTCCGTGAGACAGCGAGCGACCCTCGGCAATCAGGCTGAAAATCCGTCTGTATTAGCAAACCAGCTCATCTTCTAAGAAATCTAAAGATTTGGTTATTTAGGACGCGTTTTACTTGTATGTATTTTGTTGCCTGTAAATATAAATCTTTGAAGAGCGAGTTATAAATATTAAAGCCTAAGTGCATAGGGGGAGTATGTGTATCAGATTTTAGACTAAATTTATTCCAACCCAGTTTGGCATACACATGCCCGATGCATTCAAGCTGCACTTGCACAAATCAGGGAAGTTGTTTGGTTTTACAGTGGTAGGTGCCTGTTTCAAAGACTGGTGAATGACTTAACAATAATTAGCATATTTATATAACATTTTGTTGTTTATACTTGGGGCTTGGAATCTGAGAGGTATTCATACCATTTCCTGAACAGGAGGAATTCCTGGAAGTATGAAGCAATGGCTTGTTTGGCATTTTCCCCTCCATTCAAGCTGCATCTGTGTGTGCACTCTGGGTCTGAGATGTGCAATCCTGCCCAGAGAGAGCAGCTGAACCTTAACATGCCTTCAGCTGATATCTGGTACCAAACAAAACCAAACTGCTATTAAGGACCTTTCTCTTCATTTTTCCTTTTTTAGTTATTTTCTTCCATCTTCCTCTCACCTCTGGAAGCTCCATCAATATTGGGATAGGCAGCAATTATTCCAATCTCCGTAAGTAATCTCTCTTTTTTTTTTTTTTTTTTTTTCTTTTTTCCTTAGTTCTTCTCCTTTTTTTTTTTTTTTTTTCTGCATTATTGGCATGCTTTGCAATCGTGTACAGCTGCAGGAATATTATATTTAAAGTTCTCTAACAGCTAAACATCAATCCAGAAAAAAGCAAATAGCTTCCTGACTGAGCAAAAACAGAGTTAACAAAAATGTCCTTAACCTTGTCATCTTTAGGCAGACCAAACTCACAGAAATTACAGAATTGTCTAAAATAAAGGGCCATACAATTTAGTATCAGGTACAAGTACTTCAATATGTTATTAAAAAAAAATCCTTCTTCCTGCATTTTCTCCTACAACAGCAAGCTAGCAAATTGACAAATGGAGCACACTGACATCAGTCAAAATTTATATTATTTTGGCACTCACTAGTGAAAAAAATGTGGCTGAAAATTACTTCCAGTCATTGAAATAAAACAATTCCTGACGTTTGACTTCCTTCTACTCTCCTTTCTATGACTGTCTTTTGTAGTCATTACATGAAGGTTTTTTGAAAAGGAAATACAGCATAATAGGAGCCAATTATCCTCATGTCACTGGTCCTATTTTGGCAGAAAACCACGTGCACGCAGGGAAGCAGGGCAGTATGTCTAGTGTCTTGGATGGAAGAATGCAAAATGAGAAAAATACACAGCAATTAAACCCACCAAGAGCCCTCTTGGAGCAAGGGCTGCAGCTCAAGAAAAGCTGTGCTGGAATGTTATAATGTGACTTTGTAACACTGTTCATGCCCATCATGGCTGAGAAATCATACAACTAAAGGTGCAGTTTAAGAAGTTCCCTTAATTTACTTTAGAACATACATGGAGGAACACAAAGTCTGACAGCTACACTCACTCACAAACTAGAAATCATACCCATTTTAATGTTTGCTGTCACAACTTATCATGACAGCAAACTTGGAGAAATTGTTCATAGAGTCAGAACCAGCTTCTGGCCACAGTAGGGATTTTTAGGATCTATCCCTAAGATAACTTTGGTAAGTGAGAGCAGAGTTTGGTTGGTAAAGGTGAAGACAGTGCAGCACCAGTAAATGCCAAGTGCTGTCTTTCAGATTGTCTGGTAACCCCTTAACTCTTCCAAAAAGTACATTAAAGCTAGGCTGAAGAGCAACTGCAAAATCAGTAGCCACTGCCTAGGAGATGGCCAAATGGCATCACCCAAATCACAGAAAATACATAATAGCAGTACAAAAATGTGGACATTGGTATAGCTGCATTGGCAGTCTCCTCATTTGTTAATGAGTTGCCTGTGGGCTTGGCTAGAAAATCCCTGTGCTGTGCTGGTGTTGTTACAGGTCAATATTGCAAAAAGAATGCTGAGAAGAAATATTGGGTTTACATAATGACATAATGCACAAAGTGATGTTTCCCAGCACTTCATTGCAGGACAGCTTTGTATTGCATTGGCTTTAGATCAGCAGAGTTCTGTACTCGGACAATTGCAGCAGCCAGTTCAGAGGAGTGTGAAGATAGCTTTCATTTCCACACAGGTGCCTACAAAATTAAGTGGTTTAGACCTTGGTTTTCCTTCGGCCTTAACTGAGTCGAGCTCAGCCAGGCCTGACACTCTGGCCCTCTCCCCTTTAATTCCTGTAATGCCTAGGCTCTGAAATGTTCCACTGACAGGAAGAGATAATATTAACACATCACCAGGTGGGCATTAGCTAGAAATGAACCCATGGCTCATGGGGTGCTTTTACAGCAAATGTGGAGAGACCAGAGTTATCCCAGGCTGTTTGGAGGTGCCACAGGAAGGAGACTCCACAGTGGCCTCTACAGAACTCCTGTAGGCCAGGTACCAGATCTGTTTGCTGCCCAAACACTGAGAATTTCCTAAGCAAGGGCAAAGGCCCAGGAGCAGGACTGCAGCTCTGCCCATACAGAGACAGCTGTGCCTTGAGAATCCTGCTTTAGTCCAGGGCAAAGGGGAAAAGTGACCTGAGCGAAGTCCAGGCAAGAGAATACTCAGGGATGGAGCCCAGTGACTTCAATGACACAGGGCCAAGGTGGGCTGGCAGGGTCAGCCTTTCACAGAACTTCCTACTCAGAAGTAGAATTTGTTTTGACATTCTTGCTTGAGATGTTTCTTTCTGAGAGAAACACTGGATTTTCTTTGCAAAGTGTTTCTAGGTTTTGGTCAGCTGTGTTTGGATGGTTGGTTGGTTTTCAGAATAAAAAGTCAGATTTATCTCTAGAAAATAATGACAATTAATATAAATTATTAATCGGCAGTCACAAACCTCAGTCAGTGTTTCAAATGCTTAAATGAAGGGGTCCAAAAGCTGTCAGGGAAATAAAAAGGCAGAAAAATGCTTCTATGCAAACTGCCTTCCCTTTCTGCATGTGCCTGCCTCCTCCACCTCCTTCCCACCACTTCTGAGATTTATCTCTGAGGAAATTGGTTGTAGACACAAGTAAAAGCAATCAAACCAATTGATTATTCAATCAATTATGCAGATTGCCAATACATATGTGGTATTATAAAAAGATAGTTATTTCCAGCTATTTAGTGTCTCTATATATTCAAATGTTAAGTATTTATGGTAGTCCAAATCACCTACATCCCTGCTTTTATATCTAAGAGCACAAGGAATGTCCAGAGATACATAAAACATTCATTTACAGGCATGAATGACAAAAACCGAAGCTTAAAATATACAAACAGCATTTTCATATCCAGCACTAAGATTCCTGTCTTAGAATCTTTACAGTCTACAGACTTGTCCTAACTAAACAGAATTTTCTCACCAAATCAAGAAGGAGCAGAAGCATTCCTACTGTGGCTGTCTGTGCACAAAAACCCACCTAAGACAGGCCCAAGGGACACTTCCCAGAAGGGAAAAGTGCAGAAAATCCTCATCCTGGAATTAGTAGAGCCACCTTGGAGGCTGTCCCTCAGCATCTGGCTCAGGGACAGCAGATGAGCACAGCTGGCTGACAGCTGTGCTGCCATTGACTCCAGCACTGAGAGCTGCACCCTGAGACCCTAGTGAAAGGATGAATAAACTCCTACTCATTAGCAAGGAAATCTTTATGCACACAGCAAGAATAAAATGCCCTCTCCACTGCTGGAACTCACCCTAGGTCGGGAGTGGCTCCGTGTGGTGGAAAAATCTCTCCTCCAACCTCTGCTTTCAAAAAAAG